GCGGTTCGAAACTACCAGCTGCTCCGCGGGAGAAAGATGAGGCTTTCTACTCCCGTAAAGATTTACACCCTCGGAAACCCTGTACAAGGTCAATATGGGTCGGAACCGACTTGACGGCACTTAACAACAACAACAACATCTAGGAAATACTGTCAGTATAGGGGCTCTTAGTGATCTTGGACCAAAAGTTGGCATCTTTTAAAATTTTTGAACTAGTTTATGTTTAACATGTGAGCAACATTACAATTATGCTTGCAAACAGCATTGATGTGTAATTTCAGGCAAATGTCTTGCAGTGCCATAGACCTGGCAAATGAAACAGCATGAAGCAACAGTTTTTCCTGTGACATCATTTGCCTTTTGATTGCTGCTAGCTACGTACCCAATGCCAAAATGAATGTGTTGTCAGGGAATTGTATTTGGGCTGCGTTTCTAAATTATGTATGATTTTGATGTTTTATTACCTTCTGGATAATTATGGTTCTGTTACTAGAATAGAGTTGTATAGTGCTGAATACAAATTTGTCCTTCATTTAAAAGCTGCTCCTTATTCTGTGCTAGTTTAGTACCACAAGTAGAAGGGAGACATAGTTCATCTACCTCATATTAGGAAATAAAGCTCTTCTAAATTTTTTATCTTGTTATAACCTTCATGCTTTTATTTACATGTCATGTTTCAGCTTTATCGCTATCGTACAACTCATACAGTAACCAGCAGAAATTTTCTTCTGACAGATGTAATTGCTGCTTATCAAAGATTCTGCTCTCAACCTCCAAAAGGTAAACGCTTAGGTGTGACTGTAAGGTGCATAGTTTCAGATGACTCTTAACTTCTGTCTCCTTTTGAACTCACTCCCCTACCTCCAACTTCTATTTGATTGCAATGATGAAAATGAGTCACTTTCAAGTATAATAGTAACAAACACAGTTGCAGTTAATGACATTTGCAGGCAAATGAGCTTTTTTTCTTTACCGCCTCTGGGTTGTAAACTAGATTATTTAGCCTGATTTATTCCTATATATAAGGAGCTCTGGTAGTGTAGTGGATTGTAAGCTGAGCTGCCAACCGCAAGGTCAGCAGTTTGACTCTATCAGTCGCTCTGCGGGAGTAAAATGAGACTTTCTGCTCCCTTAAAGATTTATAGCCTCGAAACCCTATACAGGGTCGCTGTGAGTTGAACTGACTCCGTGGCACAACAGCACAACATTCCTATATATGTATCTTTTAATGATGTAGCAGCTGCTTTAAAAAAAAAAATGATAATAATATATATATATACCAACACTAATGAATTTTAGTTTGAGGGTATGTGTTTCTTATTTTTCTAACAGGATTTGAAAAATACTTTCCTAATGGAAAAAATGGGAAAAAAACTAGTGAGCCTAAAGAATTTATGGGAGAAAAAAAAGGTACCTTTTAAATGGATTGTTTGAATGTCATACTTTCCCATAATATATGATATTGATAGTAGTGTTACTGAAACTAAAACCGCAAGTTTGTATAAAGTTTTCGACTCTGTCTCATTATAACTTAATTTTTGGTCAATATTTTCCTGTCATTTAAAAATTGAAGTAGCTCAATCTCTAGGCTCGTAATAGATGTACTGACTGATAAAATTAAAGCATATTTGATAGATAATTTGACACAAAATTATGCCTTACCTACCGAAGAACCTGTTAGCAGTGTTTACGTTGTGGTAGGGGGAGCATACACTTTTCAACTGCAAATTAGAGCTCAGGAATTCACTTTTCAGTGCCCAAATCCCAACAGTATCACTTAATACTGCAGCGTATTACTCAGTGAGTTATTGAGCTAACAAGCCAGCTACAATTTGTCTGTAAAATGAGTAGAGTAATAGTAAATGTATAGGGTTGTTGAGTTATCATTCAGATTTATTGAGATAATGTATGTGAAGAATTCTCACACCTTCCTTGAATGTTGTTTGTATTAGTACCATGTGTCTTCATAGAATTTTTTTTTGTAATTGTTGTCCTACTATCCTTTGCAATAGTCTTATTAGGCTGTATTAACAAAAACATTTTCAAGAGGTTTAAAATCATGATGTGCTTTTATGTATGTTCTTTGAATAGAATCAAAACCACCCAATACATCACGTTCTTCTGGAGGAGGAGTTGGTGGTGGAGGAAAACGAGGTGGCAAGAAAGATGATTCTCACTGGTGGTCCAGGTTCCAGAAGGTTTGATTGCAAACTGTGTATCAATTTTGAGGTTACGGTGGTAGTCATGTGAAAGGTTGGGAGACACAAGTGATGTCGTTGTTGTTAAGTACTGTAGGAGGATTTTATATATCACAGATGATAACATTGTGAAATTTTGTTCACGTTTTGAAAATTCTCATCTTTTGCTCCAGGGTGACTTTCCATGGGATGACAAGGAATTCAGGATGTATTTTCTGTGGACTACTCTGTTTTGGGGTGGTGTCATGTTGTACTTCCTGTTCAAGAGTTCTGGGAGAGAAATTACTTGGAAGGACTTTGTCAATAACTATCTTTCCAAAGGAGTAGTAAGTATTTTATTGTATTGGTGGCTATAGTGATTCAAAAGAAAACTCAGTTCATTATATTAATAATGGGTGAAATTGGAAGCTAGCAAAATTCATCCATTTTAAAGTGAATATTTCTCATTGGATTTTTAAAAATACTGAAAAATACTGCAACCAACAAATGTGTTTGTTTTGATTCAGTAGTTCCATATTAAGTCTCTTTCTTTCACTTTCTACTAGAACAGAGTTTTGAAAACATGTCTTCAGACCATTATCAATCTTCTTGGCAGTCTTCCATCTGTTGTTGGCATTTTTCTCATATGCCTCTGCTGCCTCCTCTTTCTGCTGTAGCCTGCAAGTGCTCAGTTCTCTTTGTATCTTTACTGCTTTTAAACTCCTGTGGACTTGGAAATCGGGCTAATAAGAGGACTATTGTTATTACGTGCCATCAAGTCTGTTTAAACTCATAGCAACCCTGTATAAGGTTTCTGAGGAGTGGCTGGTGGGTTTGAACTACTGACCGTGTGGTTAGCCGTACAATGCTTATCCCACAGTGCCATATTAGGAGCTGTTTAAAGTAAGAGCAAACGGCTCTGAGTAAGGTTCTGAGTAAGGCCTTTGGACTGAAACAATGTGGAGAGTAAGCTGTATCATGTATCACATCTAGAAATTAGAATGGGAGTTTTTGCTGTATATATTTCCACCAAAAAGAAAGAGAGAAATAATTCTACACAGTTAAGAAGCTAGAGAACAAGAAAAAACAAATTTAAACCAGTTTATAGTCCTAGAGTGGCAAAAATGAAACCATCTTAAAATGTCAGTTGTGGGTGGGGATGTAGAGCACTAGACTTATTCTTCTGGTGAATATTTATTAATACAGCTGCTTCAGAGAGCAGTTTGGCAATTATAGTTAAGCTGAAGACACATATGCCCTATAGCCCAGCCTTAGTATATCTAGCTACAGTTATATATCCTAGAGAGATTTTTGAAGAAGTGCTGTAGAAGACACATACAGGAATATTCGTAACAGCATCGTTCATGGTAGTACAGAATTTGAAACAACCTGAATGTCTGTTAACAGATGAATGGATAAAAATTTGGGGTATGATCACAAAGTAGAGTACTTGGCAGAACTCATCTGACATGACAAACCACATGTATACATTGGTGATAAAAAGAAGTACAGAATACATGCACAGTGACACTATTTTAATGTTTAAGAACAGGCAAAATTGAATCTGTCATTTTAGGATTACATGCATCTGTAGTACGAATGTCAGGACATTGCCTAGGGTGGGTGGTTGGTGCCTCATTCATATGGTGCTCACTTCATGGCGAGGGTGTTTGGTGGGATAGTTAAGCAGCTCCAGGTGAATTTGCAGTGGTGTTAATATTAGTCTTTATTGGCTTTCTGTATGTCTGAAATAGCATGTGCATATTAAATGAACTTTAAAGAGTATTTTACGTGTTTTCTGAAAATTTATATTTGTATGTTTAACTTTTTAAAATTCTAGGTGGACAGACTGGAAGTCGTCAATAAGCGTTTCGTTCGAGTGACTTTTACACCAGGAAAAACTCCTGTTGATGGGGTAAATGATTTTATTGTTTGAGTTAGTTAAAAATAACTTTCTGGATTTAAAGCCGACCAAAAAGCATTCCTTGACATTGCAGTAGAGCTATACCAGCAGTGTGTGTGTGTTAATACAAAGATTAAGTTGGTGGAGTTTTCTTCTTACTGTTTTATTTTGGATAGTATATTTAGCTATATATATTTAGGAAATGTGTAAAATCAGTTTTCAGAATTTCATTGTAGTGTAATTTTTCAAGATTGAGAAAATACTGTTTTGTATGGGGAAAAAAAATTTCTTAAAATCTGAATTCCTTATGTCTTGAGTCAGCTTTTTAAAATTAGTTTAAGAAGCATTCCGATCATATCTCTCTCAGTCTTTTTGTGATATATTAATTTCCATTTCTTTTCCTAGTTTAAAAATAATTTGTATTTTATGTCCATTGGACTCTCTACTTCCAGAGATTCCTGACTGAATTGAGTGAGTTGAGGGGATAATAGAGGAGCGGGAAAAAAGGGGGGCTTGAAAGTGTTGCAAATGAGCCTTACCCTTCCCTGGCTCTGATAACTCATTGTCTTGATGTCTTACTGCACTCTCCCAAGACCAGATCTCTCTCACACTGGACTCCTCTTCCCTTGGGATAATTTTGTTTAGCCATTTCCTCATTGTCCTACTTGGCTGGGCAACATTTGAGGACAAATTAGAACTAATGGTAACCATAACTCTCTTTTTAGTAGCATTAAATGTAAGAATATCTGTAGAGTCATATAGCTCTGGCATTTCAGTCATTTTTAGAAAAGTAATTTTTAATTGTCTTGATTTCCCATCTACCCTGCATCCTTTTTACCTTATGAAATATTTGTTCATAATCATTCAGTGTTTTTTTCTCTCTTAGAACTATTCTCCAGACATTCAGCGCTGAGAATTACATTGTCAGTCCCTTTGAAGAGGACAATTTGGCAGTGTGTATATTAACAGTTTTAAAAACCTTCATATACCTAGTAATTTTTGTTTTATATATATATAAATATTTATATATTTGTTGTTGCTAGGTGCCATAGAGTTGGTTCCAACTCATAGCAACCCTGTGCACAACAGAACGCAACACCACCTGGCCCTGCACCATCCTCACAACTTTTGTTATTCTTAAACCCATTACTGCTATCACTGTGCCAGTCCATCTTGTTGGGGGTCTTCCTGTTTTTCACTGACCCCTCCACTTTACCAACCATGGTGTCCTTCTCCAAGGACTGATCCCTCTTGATAACATGTCCAAAGTATGAAAGATGAAGTCTCTATCCTAGCTTTTCAGGAGCCTTCTGTCTGTATTTCTTATTCTTTTTTTTTTTTTTTCAATTTAAGGTTTTTATTGTGGATTGAGGGAAAGTTTACAGGGCACATCATCAGTTTCACATTCAACAATTCGTATAACTTGTTTCATTACATTGTTTATAATCCCCTCCATATACCATCAGTTAAAAGTATTTCTCTCTATCCACTTTAGCTTTTTGAAAAACACACAAACAAAAAAACCCACTCAGGCATATATAATAATTTACATCTCCGAAGGGCACATTCTGCAAGTCTGCTCCTGGTCACC